AGGATTTTCTTGGCTCCGCTTACATGGCAGCTCCGGCTAATCTATGAGATGTGCTCGCTGGCACCTAAGCCAGCAGCTTTGATATTTCAGCATTAGCCCCATTAAAGTCAACATTATGAATTTTAATTTCGTGCACTTTATGCGAGAGTGGGTACACTGAGCCAACGGCCGTAAACTGTTTATTATTAGGTGAGGTGAAGCGAGGGAGCGAAAGGAAAAACCTTAAATTTGTATACACTTGAAACATTTTAAAGTCTTAATGAATTAAAATATGGGTTTTGACTAGAGAAATTCAATTATGTTATTAGAAACATTATTATTTGTTTGTATCTGGATTTTATGAGATCAGTTTGTAAGGAGTCTTATTATTTTATCTTAGTACTATATACTCTTCCGACAATGCTGTTTTTTTATTATTTATTCTAGATTAAACGATTTTTTCATCTTAATGCTTTTATATTATTTTTAGTTTTATTTTACGAGATGTTTGATATGGCACTATGAATCTTATTATTTACACATCATTTTATATGGCGTTACTGATCTTATTATACTTTCTTCAGGCTCAATGCTTTCTTACCTTTATTGTTTCTGTGTAACGGTGTGTCAGCCTCAATTAAGTGCGAAGACGTGCCAAGGACGAAACTGACTATCAGGACTATCAGGACTATCAGGGCTTCCAGGGCTTCCTGCATTTGTCGACTGCTGCTAATGCCACTCCCACTGCACTGGCACTCCCAGGGAAAACAAAGCCACAGATAAAAGTATGACTTAAGGGACGTCTGGTGGCCTGGGTTAAAAACGGATCCTGGTGCCGAGCAGGAGCGATGTCAAGCAGTCTCGGCAATCGCCTTACAAGTGCAATGTCAATTTGTGCACAAAGGGATAATAAGGATTTATGTCAAATGCTGGCGCTGTTTGAGTTTTGCCAATATTTTCACAGATGACTGCACTTGCCTCAAGTGAAAATAAAACGCGGCTTAAGCGTCAGTCACAAAAATAGAAAAATCGAAGCGCCAAAGGAAAAATCAGACTTGTGTTTGTACTCAGACGGCACTGAAAAGAATTTATTACCTTGGATTGATGAAACATAAAAATATCTTATACCCAAAAGGGAGGAGAAAACATTTTATCCCTTCCACAATATTTCTTTTTTTCTTGCTGTAAAACCTTTTTCTTCGGCGATTGAACTTTTCACTTAGCCACCTAATGGCTGCTTAACTTATTAATTTCCTGTATTAACAACAAGCTCTTAACAAGCAGCGCTCATTAAAACTGCATAAATACACCAGCAAGCTATCAGAAAGCAATTTCGCCAATAGCCCTAGCCCCAAAAGCCACCCGCAAAACTCACTTCCAAAGTTGTGAACTTTCCACAACGATAACAACAACAACAATTACAACTACAACAATGGCAGCCAGCAAATATGGTAAAGGAAACACTAAGGATACAACAACAAAGGACCAAGGCAAGCCCAACTTTTTCGAGCTGAGAGCTCAGAAAGTGCGCTTTGATGCTTTTACAAGTTTTTAGTGATTTCTTTTTTTTTTTTTTGGTGAGTGTTATGCAGCCCGCTTTTTGGGGGCTAACACACACTGGCACGCAGACACACCAGGACATCAGGAGAACACCATCCCAGCCACACACAGACAACACACAGTCGAGGGACCACCGAAAGCAATCAGTTTGCGGTACACAATGCGAAGCAGGGCGGGGGATTCCCCAGCCTTGATAGAAATCATGCTGAGTTGTGAAACGTAAAATTGAATTTACTCTGCCGCATTCCCACATTCCCCACATTACCCAACTCACACTGAGATTTTCCATGTGGCCGACAGTTTTTCACGCTTTTCACCACCAATTGTAAGCGGGACAAAAGTTTGCCGACTGCCCGCTCCAGTCATAAATCATTGGGCCTTTTGGCCATATATGCAAACGTTTCGGAAGATGGACTTCATTCGTGCTATCACTAATCCCAGCACTAAGCCGGCTTTGACTTTCATTTGCTCAAGGCAATAACATATACAACTGACGGCAAAGAAATAGTATTGTATAGTTAAGGAATTTCTAGATGTTACTAGAGCATAAATAATAAAGTAAAATACACTAAAATGGTATACTTTTTTAAAAGAATTTTAAAGCAATAAAGTTGTGTTCAAAGATCCTCATTGTCTATGAGAAAATTTATTAAATACTTCTTAAATTCTCTTTATTCTTTTAATCACAATGAAACTTTAATAATATAATATTCATTTTATCAAGGCTGTCCTCAAATATTTTTCTTACTTTTATGTAAAAGAAGTGGTTTGCTTCTATTAATTTGGGCCCTGCTGTCTGTATAATCTGATACTGCTACCCTCATCAAATGTACAACATTTGCCTGCTAAGTGGAATTTGCTGGTTTTCCAACAAAAGTTAATGATTTTGTTTGTGCGCATTGTATATATAACTCGGCCGAAACTCTCTGAATCTGGCCATAATCAGCTTAAAGTAGCCGCCAAGTCCGAAATGGAATTGATTTCAATTGAATTCAGAGCAAATTTGCAAATAGGGGAGAGAGATAGAGACTTGTTAGCCTTCTATAGTTGTCTGTTCGGTTGAATTGTTCATGTAACTGTTGCGGTCTTGGCCATGTTTGCAGCCATTCGTGTTTATTTAAATGTAATTAATCTCAGCAGAGCTCAGAACCTGGACCGACCGCAGATTCAGCTTCAAATTGGAATCCCAGGTTCGGGGCTTACGCAATTAGTTTCTTCCTAAGTGGGAGGAAGTGGGGCAGACAGGCTCCAAGAGGATAATCCTATTTTTGTTCAACAAGCTGCTTTATTTTTAGTTATAGTCTGCTTACTGATCATCTCTCTTGCTGCTTCATTAATAATAAAGATGAGTAAATAATAGGCTCTGGCAAGAGACTTGTAATTAAGCATGAGTATTTTGGCAAGGAAAATATATTTATTATCTAACTAAAGATAAATCATTACAAGAATTGAATTGATTTTAACTTAATTTAAATCCAATTGTATGGAATTTCACCTATCCATTTCAGTTGCTGAAGCTGAAACTTTAAAGGCTCCACCTCCGATCGAATTTTGGCTTTTGAAGCCAACGCAATCTACGCGCGACCCCAGCGTAATTAATCCAATTTCAGTGTGCGATATTTCACACTTAAAAATCAAACTCTGGCAATTTGTTACAACCACTCCTCGCACGCACCGAGAACGAACGAAACCCGAACCAGAGCCCAACCGGAGCCCGAAATCCAAACCTAACTGAACGATACACATGAGACGCCAAGTCGTCGCAGGACGTGGAGTATACAGAACGGAACTGGAGTGAAGTGGAGTACAGCGGAGATGCGATTGTTTGGGTGGGGGGTATATCCGGTTAGTACGTGAGCCCCGCCAAAAGTTGTGCAAATAAATGGCACTGAAATTTTATAGCACACTTGATAATTTCAGCAATAACTCAGTGCGGCTAATCACCGCATAAATAATCTTAAGGACAGCTCAGCTTAGCTTCACTCACCACCGCAACTAAGGCAAACCAGTGCGTACTATATATACGTATATCCGCCCGATTTGTGCGGTATATATACTTATTTGTGTACTCCGGACAGTATGCACAGTGCATGAGGCGAGAAAAGCAAACTAAGAGAAGTCAGGATAGTCTGGGAGAGTTAAAAAAGTAGGAGTACACTGAGAGGATACTTGTAATTTGAAAGTGAATCATTCCAGGGGAATATTTATATATTAGGAACAAGTTTAAAACTGATTACTTGGAAATCGGCAGTACTTAGTGCTTGGAAAAGACTGTAGACTTTCAAAATCTAGCATAGGTAAAACTATTTTCCAGATTTCGGGGATGCTTCTGACATTTAAACTAAAATAATATTTTATATAAGAATATATTAAATACTTATTTAAAACAAACTAACCAAGTAAAAGTATCAGCAGTGAAAACTAACTTTTTAAATTATGAAAAATTATGTTTTTCTTTAAAGTCTATAAGAATTCGAACTACCAAAAGGGCTAATATTATTTTCAATACATTTTTATATCAATTTTCAAAAGAATAAATTATGAAATCAACACCTAATTTTCCTCTCTGTTCTCAGGAATAAATACATACATCCCATACATATACAAAACTGGTAACTGGTCTGGCTAAGCGGCGGAACAGAGGAGCAAATAGCAGCATCCACGGACCAGCATCCAAAACTCATGAAATCGAGAACTCGGTCGAATGGAACGTGAGCGAAATTTTTGCTAACGAATGTTGACTTGGCCAAAAGTACTAAAATCAAATAAAGGCAACAGCAACAAACGAAAACAACAGCAGCAAATCAAACAAAATCAACAATCACTTGCTAAAAGTTAGCCCAAGTTGATGAAGACAAACGTCGGCTATCCCCGTTCATCCTGTATATTTGTATGAATATATAGACGGACGAAGTTTGCCGAAAAACTCACACCACACTATTTGGTCATAATAAAAATATTAATACAAAAGCACCGCCAACTTGTGGATCAGTCAGTATTTAAGCCAAGTAAACAGGCGGCGTAAATCCATAAAATTAACTCGCAGCTGGCAAAGTCACAGTTACGGTCGTCTTTAGATCCCCGGGTTTTTCGTACCACTCCGACTGTCAGTCTGTCAGGCACAACAAGGACCACAGAAATGTAGGTTATACACACACACGCACGCACACAGAGACACAATAGAAGCGAAAGCATTGCGTATACGCCGCATGTGCCGCGCGAATAGCTGAAAGGAAATAAAAGGCAGGAAAACAACAAAATAGGAAATTTAATGCGAACGCTGCGTGAACCGAAAGTTTAAAGCCATCCCAAAAAGAAAAAAAAATGGAAAGCGAAAATAAAACCATCCAAAAAGGCAATAATTTGTATAACTTTATGACGGCACAGGAGCCGGGAAACAGGATCCAGCCTCTCGGGCTACCATTCCCTCGAAAAAAAATAAACTTGCTTGAATAATTTACCAGCAAATTTGAAGACTCCAAAGTCTCTAGCCGAGCGGGTTTGTTTTTCGTTGAATTTATATTTACAGAGTATTTACTAGACAAGCACTTTCATTTCGGTATTTAATCCAAAGAGAGATGTAACTTTTCTCTGGTGTCGGTTTTTATTTCACTTTCATATTCCCTCGTTACTTGTATTTTCGATATATATATATTTTTTTGTATTTTATTTTTATGCTTGCTGTTTTCTATTTTGCGCACAAAAGCATTCGCTGAGCGACACACGATTCCTTCCACTTTCCACTTTCACTGCCAAACCGACCGTTAAATTCAACGTTCGCCACGCATCTGACTGATTTCCTCGCTGGCCATCAGATATGCACGGAGGCTGTGTACACGCACCCAGAAATCGGTATCGGGTTCGGCTTCGGCTCCGCCATTGCCTCGTTCGCCAGCCGATGCTGAATACTCGTCCGCCTTCGTGGCGCTTCGGCTTCTCCGTATGCCAGTTGTGTGGCCACGACAGGACATCGGCTAAGAGAGAAAAGCCCACGAATTCGCCGTGTTCGGTGGCAAGGCTTTAGCGGTTAACTATGGTCAGGTTCATGAGAACTTCTCCCGAAAGAGCATCCAAAATCAGCTGAGTGTAGAACAGTTCGAGATGGAGGAAAGGGTACCTAAGACCAAGTGATGTCCTGCATCCTCTGATTGTTTTTGTGCGTTTAATAGTGGGAACAGGATTTGCATTTAACAGCTGTTGTAGATGAGAGTGCGCAGAAGCGGACAATCTTCGAAAATATTGTCAAATAGTGGTACCAGTATGGGCTTAAGGGAGACTCTGTCTTTAAAAGCCAAAAGTATTAGTTATTTATTTAAATGGAGAGGAAAACTATTATTAATTATATTTTTTAGTAAAGTAATAATAATATAAATAAATAATAAAGTTTCGTCACGTTTGGATTAAAAACAAATCTGTATATTCAGCAAATAGAACGACTATAATATTGTTAAAAATTCAAAAGATTGGAAATTAGTGAAAAGATTTATTTAAATTATATCAACATATGAATGAAGTAAAGAAAAAAATAATTAGAATTCCAAGTTTCTTTTAACTTCTAATTATCTACAACTCTACAATCTGCAAACTCGGCAAAATTAAAGTTCCAAACATTTTATTTTTCATTATTACGTATGTGCCTTAAATATATGTATAACAGTTAATTATTAAATTGTTAAGTACGTATTGTATTATTAAAGTGACTTTATGTAATTATTAACAGGTTAAACTTTACAGAAACGCAAAAATATCAAAAAGTAATTTTATTACTTTACTACATTATTATAATTTGTTTTATAGTTATCGAATTTTAAATGCTTTTCAGTTGAAACACTAACAACTTGGCAACACTTATTAAGTTGAAGAGAATTTTTCAGTATAAGGCTCAAGAAGTTACAAGAATACCACAAAACTTGAAATATACTTTTAACGTAGTTAGCAAAATATTGCTTTCTACGTTTTAATAACTGTACCATCTTTCCTACTTAAAGCTTCGCTTGACTAGTTTCTGAAACCAACTATTTTGCAAAATAGTATATTGACATATATTCCAACAACTTTGATTATTTTTAATAAAACTGGCAACTTTGGCAGTTGCCAAACTGAAAAACCTTAGAAACTCTCAAATACCAAATACCGACTACCAAATATGTACCTGTCGTCACCCCGATAGATTCCCCCTAATTGATGCACTCATAAAACTGTTGTATGAGAAGCTCTTCCATCCATCCATCCAACCAACCAGCCACCCTCTCAGCCCACTCATCAGTTCCGAATTCCCGGGGCACTCAAATAAAAATGAGTGTGCGAAAGACGTAAACCAAACAGGCAAGTCACAGATCAATATAATGAACCGAGAACGTAAGCCAGAAGCCGCAACAAATTGCCAGTGAGTCCTTCGGTGGTCCATTGCCTGGCTGCAGTGGCTCAATGTGGATTTGATTTAAGTTTTAGCACTGCCGCGCACTTATCGAGCAATTGGGATGGTTGTGTGGTTGGATACAAGGGGAATCCCATATACCATATACAGGCCATATGCGGCATTCCAATGAGAGCCGAAAGTTATTTGCAATATTACGAATCGATACCCAAGGATGATGTACACATGTGTGTATGTGTGTACCGAGCGGGTATCATCCCAAAGTGCACATCATGATTTTATTAAATGGACTCTGATGTATTTATTGTCCAGCAACAACGTGACTTGTGAATTGATTTCATTAAACTGAAAAAGTTAACAAAGCAGCGCTCCTCGGTCAGCAGCAACATTTTTTGGACAAAGTTGCCCAGATAGCAGCCATGCAGCCCATATATCGCCATATAGATAAATATTTTTTTATAGCAATATATGTAAGAGAGAGTAGGGAGGGTGATTGTGTGTGTGTGTTGGCTTGAGGACATCTATCGTTAGTGGCCAGGAGTGGAGATGGAAGGATGAGTGAGCCTCAATGACCAATGGCAACAGCAGCGCGCGTCGAGCGTGGAATATCAATGTGGTCGAGTGGAGGAGCATCCAGGACCATCCAAATCCAACCGAACCAACTGCTCAACTGACCATCTGGCTAGCTCACTGACTGACTGACTGACAGACTGACCGAATGTCAGCAGAGCAGTGTCCTGGCCGGAGCATCCGGGATGCCTTTTTGTTGACCGCTGTTTGCCACAAATTGCCAAATTGTGTGAGTGTGCGGCTTTCGGATTTGGCATCGGCTTTGCCCGGTTTCATTTTGTACAAATAATGATGATAATGTTGATGCGGCTGTTGACTTAACGCACATAACGCTGATTAGCCACATAGTCCGAGAAAGCAATCGCATTCGCACTAAGCCTTGAGACTTAATTCCTAGACACAAGGTGGAAAAACACAATGAAAATTGAATTTGCTGTAAAGTAAATCAGTTGTTACAGAAATAATATTCTTAAGTTCTTTCCCTTAAATTGCAAAGTAATCAATTTGTATTTCTCTCCGTGCAAGCAAACAATTTATCGAGGCATCCAAATATGCAAGGCAATCGGAAAATATGGCCAAGGTATGAGCCGGCACTCAAGGGCTTTTGTACTTGGGATGTCCTTGGCATGCGATTGCACTCAAACAATTTCTATTAAATGCGCTTTTAATTGCAGTCGAGAGTCTCGAAAGGCATTTCAATGGCAACGACTCTGTCGTCCTGGGCACAACTCCTCCTCCGGCCAACGTGGCGTATGCGCGATGTTAAGGCTAATTTCAGTATTAAGCGAATGTCGTCCTCGCCACTTGCTTCTCGCCCTTCTAAGCTCAGTGGGAATTTATAAGTGAAAGGCGGAATGAAATGAGAAATGAAAAATTGCCAAGTAAAATGGAAAAGCTCCGACTCCTCGGGCTTTCATACAACGGACAGAGGACCCCAAACTCCCACCGCTTTCCACTTTCCTCGCTCGCTTTGCTGTTGTTGCATTGTAAGTTGTCCTGTTTTATAAATGTCGGCGGCAAGAACCACTTACATGAGCCATTTGCATCATATTTCTGTTGTCATTTGTTGACATTTTACTTGCCTCGTCCCAGCGAGTGTGTGTGTGCTGTGTGTGTATGTGTGTGTGTGCAGACACACACTTAATGTGCAGTCATTATTTTTCAAGAAACAAGCTCAGTAGCAAGCCGGCAAAAAACAACAATAACAAAGGCAACAAAATCGTGAGAGCATAGTGCAAAGGCAAAAGTCTGTTGAGCACAAAAAAAATAAATAAAAATAAAAGAAAAGCGTTGCGAATACAAAACAAAAAGCAAACACAGGGAAAAATTTCAAGTTTTATACCTTGCAGGGTATTATAATTCAGTCAGAAGTTTGCAACGCAGTGAAGGAGCTAAAGTATTATTGATCGGATAACACCATCGTTACATGTCCGTCTGTCCGTCTGTCCGTCTTTCTGTCTCTGTTTTCGTCTGTGTTTTAGCAATATTCAGTTTGAAGCATTGAAAATTGTATATTCTATTAAATGTTATAAAATAAAATGTTACAAAAATTGGTTCATAAATCATTATTATCCATTATCTTTTCATAATCAAATGATCAAATAATACAAAATATAAAGTCATAATGGTAAAATTAATTAAAATCGATCGACATATATAAGCCATACAAACATCGTTATGCCTCATGAATTCTGAAATATATTATTAATGAATAAGCATACTATATATAAGTATGTATGTTATTATAAATCTAGGAAAACCCCGAATAGCTTTTCTTATTAGTTATATGCTAACATGGATCTAGCAAATGATAAATGTATAATGTTACAATTGTTCATATATATTATTTATACAAATATAAATTCATGATATAAACGATCAATAAACATATCTCCAATTCTAAATAATTACCTAAAATATTTACACTCACTTCTAAAGTATTATATTTATAAATATTATAACGATCCATTTTATTAAATTTACTTATAGTATAAAAATTAAATTTTATATGAATTATTTATTAAATATTTTACTTAAATAACTTAGAACCTTTTAAAGATAGTACTCTCTTTAATCACTCTTATTTGGCTCATATCCTGAATTTTGCCGAGTGAAGGAAATAAAAGGATAAGAATATATATATATATATATATATGTGGGCACTACCGCCCACTCAACCGCTTTGCATCTGAGCTAAGAGAGAGAGATGGCAAGACAGCGGTCGAAAGAGATGGGAGAAAGTGCGAGGGAGGAACGAGAATGAGGCGGCGGCAAGGGTTCATCATTGTTTGCCTTTGGCCTGGGCCCAGAACTTGGCTAATTGCCTCGGCCCCGACTATCGTTTTTCACCAATCAGGCGAGTGAGTATTAATTAATTATCTTACCATATGCCATGCTGCATTGAAAGCGGAATTTTCGCTGATTTTTATTTAACTTTGCACGCTAATTAGCGTCCATTCTGATGGCAGCATCCCTTTTTTCGGCCTTGCCCAGCGAGTGAAGAGGCTAAAAGGCTGGCCAGTTGGATCAACTTGAGTCTTGAGTTTTCTGTCTGGGGTTGGGGGCCAAAAGCCAAAGTAAAGTTTGCTGAAACTTTATTCAAGTTTAGTTGTGTTTTCTTTTATTCAGCATTTCTTGATTGACAGTTGATTTATAGTGTTCATCGACACTACAAAATAGACAGAGAGTATTCCCAGAATATTCTGAAATTATTTGCAGAATTTATAATCAAGTTGAATTTTATTTTTATTTGTAAATTTTTATTGGCTCTGTTTTCCGATTCCCACTTCCATGCATCTAAAATCCTATGGAAAGGGATACAAAAACT